AAGAAAGTGTTGTGTAATTGGTCGCATTCCTTCAGAAACAGCTGTGTTTTGGTTATAACAAGAACTCAAGGCTATACACTCCAACCACTGTGTATGACCTATGACTTTTTACTACCAGTGTGTGTGCACAGTATTTGCACCATGCAGGTTGTGTGTAGTAAGTGTTGTATTATATACTGTACATGTAAGTAATTGTGTTATTTTCCTAATATTACAGGGGTCCGTCCGTCCGTCCGTCGGCCTGTCAACCCATATACCATCCAATCGGTCTGTTAACCCTATTTTATTGAGGAGAGCTTCAATAAAGATTTCGTCAGTTGTAGAGTAAACAACAGAGACAGTATCGTCGTCCGTTAATCGCGGTCGTATCAGTGACAACCTTGCGCTTGCGGCGCAGAAACCTATCCGGCAGCCCGGCCGGATAATACGACATCAGCTTTTGCTGACACCAATTCATTTTCTACACAAACATCAAGCAGAACCCTCTACAGGTTCCTGTAAATGAAGTGAATGCGCATGACTGCAGAAAAAGAAAAGTTGCCATGTAGTGGCAAAGTTTTAAAAATTGCAAAATTCCCAGTTGGCACCGCCGAGAGCAGAGAAGCTCAGCAGGGCCAACCGTGTGATTCTCAAAAACAAAACAGGTATGTATGGGATACCACTGTCTTAAGAGTTGCATCTGCTCCGGCCAAGAGTAGAATCCTGACGCATTTCTCGTTGTTCATCACAGCATAATGGAGTGGAGTACAAAGGAGCTGTGTCATGGAAAATAGAGGGAAATGGGAAAATATCCATCAAATAATTTGGTCTTCCAACCCCAGGTTGTGTGGTCTAAGCGTACAGCAATTCCATTAATATCAACCGAGTTACCAATGATAGCATTCTGCATCTTCTACCTCAACTGAATCCAAGTTCTGTTCTTCCCCTTGTACAGCGTTAACAGCCTGTTCTTCTTGACAGAATGAGATACTCTGTGGCACTTCAGGTGATATGCTGCAGACAAATTGCCTGCAGAATCACTGTCTCAAATTTCCAGTAACGGCGCCTCAGTGGAGCCGCATTTCTCCCCAAACAACTCTCTCTTAATCCATCTTGTGTAATTTTCAGAGAGTCATCAATCCTACTAGCTTTTCATATCTGGTCAACAGGTGAATCACAATGATGGTGCGCGGAGCTGGGCCTACTCACCTTATCCACAGCATCAACGGCAGCACCTTTGTCGAGGAGGTACTGCAGTGACTTGGCATTCCCACTGGCGGCTGCAGAGTGCTGGGGCAAAGTGCCTTCCTAGAAACAGAAAAGTCAAATTTAATGCATATTCATGAGGTTCCATCTCAACAGGCTGCTTTGAGTCGACACTTCATGACTTAACAAGGCATCAACTGTGATTCAACAATTAGATGATTTCTTCCTGCACAAACATGACTGACATAAGCTGTATCGCCGTTAACTATACTTTCTATTGTGCTGTAATGGTTCCTTCCATTTCATCTTTCAAATTTCAAGTTGATGGTGCCTTCTCTAACAAGAAAAAGCCTACTGCAAACCATATAGCTGAACAACCATATCCCGAGGGCTGGTTCCATATAGGCAACAAGAATAGTTTGTCAAACTATCCTCACACCACAGCTGGTGCGTGCATGAATTTCCATCTTGACCACCTATGCCAAAGGCATAATGGTATCAATGTAACAAGTAACAAGTTGTTCACCTTGGATGCGATGTCAATGCGAGCTCCAGCATCAAGCAGCAATTTACAGGAATCTACATCATGCCTGGCAGCCGTGTGCAATGCCGTCAGTCCATCCTGGCGAGAGAATTAATGGGGGAAAGACTTCAACCAGACTTTTTGGTTTTGTTTTGGCAATATTGAGACAAACATGACTATGGTGAAAGAGTTCAGTCCTTGAATAACATGTCAGAAGCACGTCTGATAAGTAATGAGCAGGCATCGTACATATAGGTATGGCAGTGCCTGATGTCTATGCATAGAGCAAGACACCTTTGCTCGAGGTGTCATGTACATGTATGTAGCGAAATCATAAGGAGGCAAGCCTTCAAAATTGGCTTAGGGCCGGCGACCATTTAGACCCGGTTTGAAAAGGCCCCCCCCCCCCCCCCGGTAAGCTCGCCCGGTTGCAAAAACCCCTTTCATACCGGCCTAGCTACCGGCCTGGGATGCTCGACTGGTTGTTGATCTCCAACTTCTTCATCCTGGGGTCTATTGTTTGCAAGTACTGGTACATGTAATCTATCCCAGAAGGAACATGCTTGTGGTTTTTAATCCTTCAGCTCTATACAATGTTTACACTAAGCCGCTTAGACCCCTATTCATCTGTGCAAGCATGTTGGGGGAAGCCTTTCATCAGGGACTTTGAAATGCCAATGTGCAGACAGGCCTTATACCAGCCTGGAGTAGGCTGAATACCAGGCAGGCATTATACCGGGCGGGCGGGCGACCGGGGGGCCATTTTCAAACGGGGTCTAAATGGTCGCCGTCCCTTACGACATTCAGACTTACCTTTCTCCTCCCTGCCTGTGACATCTGCATTCCCAGGTTGTACCTCTCGCTCACATTTAACTCTTCATGAATTTAGTGGTATTTGAGCATTTTTAAGGCAAACCTACCAAACACTTCATCTACTGATTTAGATTCTGACCACACTTGTCGACTACACCGCGCTCCTTAATGTCACAGTCAGAAACATTCCACCACTTCTCAACAGTCTTTTCCAACTTTTCCCATTCAGGGACACTAATTCAGATTTTTTTCCACCAACGTTATAGAAACACACTCCAGTTTTGCAACTGATACACAGCAAGTAAACAGCATCACTCTGCAACCGGATTTCCCGCCTGGTTCGCGTGGCTGAGGGAAATTTATCAATAGAGGTGTATAGCATCTGGGGACCAGACATGTGTGCGCCCTCTTTTGTTAAAAAGTTGCCATGTATGGAGTTTTTCGGTACAAAATAAAAATTGTGGAATACAAAAAGTGGGAAAATCACAAAACACACTAGATTTTTAATCAAATTGCTTCTACAAGCTGAAACTGTCTTCCAAAGAATAAGTGCAATTGTTCAATTGTGATTTCACAGCATTTCTGTTCAGATTTGCTCAATTTGTGTTGGTAACTTTTTGCCGTCCTTCGTTAGAAAAATGCACTGAGTTGCATTTGATGTGAGATATGGGACAGAGAGACCCCCACCCCGCCTTTGTGGTGCTCATTGTTATACTGGTATCTCAGGAATTCTTTTCAGACAACTGGGGGAAGTGTTAGGTAACAATAGCTTAGAATGTGTACAGGGATTGGACTTGTGGGGGTTATCCCTATGTCCAATATATTGCCAGGTATATTGCACGAAAGCCTCCATATATCTCCCCGTTGCACCCTTTGTCACAATAACAACATAAACTACTGAATTTTCTGTTGTTCAAACTATGTATGTGTGAATTTTCATCTAGTTCCAAGATGGGTGCCACGAGATGACAGAAAAATCAAGTGCGTTTCACGGCCTATCCGCTTATACATTGTAACTCAGAACTACACAAACACGTTTTAATCCACGCAACTGCAGTTGTGCCTCCAAGTGAGAGCACTTGGAAATGAGGATGACACAATTCAGAGACAAACCTCATCCTGGGCATCCACTTGGCAGCCAGCCTCGATCAGAAGCTTGGTTCCTTCTGAGTTCCTTCCCTCGGCTGATGCAAAAAGTGGAGTCGATCCATCCTATAAACCAACACAAAGAGAACATAAAGCATGAGAGATTCCATGAGGCCGACAGTGCCTCCCTTGAATGCAGCATTCAGATGGGAAGTGTTTTCCAAGTTCACTAAAGATACAGTCCATCGTCTGCAATTATTCATGACGTTCCTTTGAAGAAATACATTACCCCAAATTTTAAGAAGGGTGCTTGAGAACGAATGTGGTGAAGTTCCAACTCAGTATATGCTGAGTATTCTGAGAAAAACATATTTCATGTTTTGATTTCAAATCAAAAGTTGCTGAGTCATTCAGGGCCTCAGAGTGGGACACATTCTCATATCATGTCACACACTGAACAAATGAATAACAGTCACCATGTCCTAACCTAACATACCTAGTGTGGACTTGTGAACAAAAGATGTCCACACATAGCAGGAAAGGAAGACATTCTGTGGACTTACTCATGTCCTCAGGACATTTACCTTTCTCTGAAAAAGAAGTTTAGGGGCATTTTGGGGCTGGAGTCATCTGTTATAAAAGGAAGAGGAATAGTCAAGGAAACCTTGTACAAAAAGCCAGCTGAATATCGTGTTCCTAATTCAAGAAGAACAAGTATTTTCACCAAGTTTTTTAACTGCACGAAAGAAAGGAATGTCCACACAAGGTATGTAAGGTAAGTGATGCAGTGTGCAAGAGTGTCATGTAAACACTTAAACATGCTTTTGATTACAATTTTCCCTTGAAACGTGAAAAATACATCTCTGCAGAGCGAATTTTTTCCATTTTTCTATGCTTCTTCCAGCCTCTTTTTACCCAAGAGGGCAATTTGAAAAGCCTTCCAAATTTAGAAGTCCCACTGTTGAGTTTTTATTACGTGGACTATATCAAAAACAGACAGATGACTCCAAAGCACAAGAGTCCTGCAGCTGATGTCATGTTGAACCATGCCTAACCCTTGTGCAACAAATGTTTGGTGTGTCTGCACAACATTTGTACTTACTTTCAAGTTCATTTAAAGTTGCTTAGCTGCGCCATGATTTAATAATGTTAAATCTCTTGGATGACGGCACTAACAGCTTTTATGACGCCTGTTACTCTCCAATATAGCACGTCAGGAAACAGTTGTTACTATTTTGACAAATTTGTTATTTTTTTTTACCAGAGCCGGAAGAGAAAATATCACAGTTCTGTAATAGCCAAACAAGTTTTTCATTGCCTTCTAAAATAAAGTTGCATATTTCTCACAAAAGACTTGTTAAGTTCAGCGATCATGAGCCTCAATTAAGCATGATGAGCTAGTCAAATTGTTCCTATTCTCTTAACACCACCGAAAATGGCTGCATACATAATGCCACAATTTGTTGCGCATATAGCAGACTTTAATACACTGTGCACTAGTTCTGCGAAATTGTTCCTAATTTGCTGCACAGAAATAAAGTGGCATTAGCCACATTAGGCCACGGCATAAAGTTTCGGGGAATCAACTGCTGATTTCCATGTCAGATTCTGGTGCCATCCTTTTGGAATCCGACAAACAGCTGCACTAGCCTTATCAGAGTTGCGCCAACTACCCCTAAGCTCCAATGCAACACCCTTTTTTTACGGAAATGACCATCGGTGCCTACTGGTTGCGAGTGGCAATGGCTGACCCAATCAAAGGCAGTGCTTTCAAAAGCCTGTACCAACGTGATGGGAGTCTAGAACTCACCTCGATCCGAGCGTTGATATCGGCTCCTGCCTCAAGAAGCAGCTTCAAGCATTCCACATTTTCCTTAGCTGCACTGAAGACTGGCGTAATTCCATTCTGAAGACAACAACCAAAACCACAGGAAGTCATGTTTCAGCGTACTGCAGACAATGAGGCACTGTTTCCTACTATTCCTGAAACACGTCCCCAGAAAAGACTAAGCAGAGGCACTTACTACAGAGATAACTGAAAGACTGACCATGCAGGACAGGAAAATTCCTTAAAAAACACGTCCCAATAATAGACTAAGCAGAGGCACTTACTGCGGAGATAACTGAAAGACTGACCATGCAGGACAGGAAAATTCTTTAAAAAACACATCCCATTATAGACTAAGCAGAGGCACTTACTACGGAGATAACTGAAAGACTGACCATGCAGGACAGGAAAATTCCTTAAAAAACATGTCCCCATAATAGACTAAGCAGAGGCAGTTTCTACGGAGATAACTGAACGGCTGACCATGAAGGACAGGAAAATTCCTTAAAAAACACGTCCCCATAATAGACTAAGCAGAGGCACTTACTGCGGAGATAACTGAAAGACTGACCATGCAGGACAGGAAAATTCCTTAAAAACACGTCCCCATAATAGACTAAGTAGAGGGACTTACTACGGAGATAACTGAACAGCTGACCATGCAGGACAGGAAAATTCCTTAAAAACACGTCCCCATAATAGACTAAGTAGAGGGACTTACTATGGAGATAACTGAAAGACTGACCATGCAGGACAGGAAAATTCTTTAAAGCTTACAGCATGTTCATTTTCTATTACAAAAAGCACAACAAAATTTGCCATCTCAGCCTTGGTTTGGTCGCATGATCAACGAAGAGCAGCATTTTTGAGTACCTACTTCATGTAGATTTAAGAAAAATCTGTTGACCGTTTGGCCTTTGCAAATGAATCATATGGACAAGAAAAGTAGACTACTCAACCAAAATAGCGACAGAGAGCAAAGCTCACAAATGTGGCTCTTTGCCTTGAGGGATGCGGTTGCTAGGTTACAAAGTGTATCATCTTGTTCACTTGCAGAACCTACATATCATAACTGAGGAAAACGTACCGTTGCTCTAACTTCGATGTCAACACCTTTAGCCAAGAAAACCTTCGTGGCATCAGGATGCTTACTTGCTGCCATGTGAAATGGAGTATAACCAATCTGTGAAGTGAATATTGTCCACGTTAACAATCGGTGTGTCCAGTCACATCTTGCAAGTTACGCCCACACAACAAGCGTGACCAGTCACCAATACCAAAAGCTAAGGTACTGGTGGTCACAAATATCATTTTCCAGATAGTCTGACTAGTTGTGATGCAGTGACTAGTAGGACTGTTTCCACTAGTGGGCGGAACACACAGGCTCGCAACTATCCACCCCATGCCAACAACTATGCAGTTGAACACCTAGTCCCTGCAGGGAAATGAGGTTGCGCAGTAATAGTGTCGTACACTGTAGCACATAACGGCTATGTGCTCTGTACATTTGTATGGTTAAGTTTGCTCAACAGCTCATACACTGGGCATGCAAAATGGCCGCCGACCAAAAACGAGGAAATTCCAATCTCTACAAGACTTAGTACTGTTTTTTTTTTCAATTTTCAGCGGCATGAGTGTGAAGTGAAAAATGAGGAAATCAGCTGATCCAAGGACAAGTTACATGGCTGCTCCACACAGAAAACTGCACACATGCGCACACTGTGCTGGTACATAATGTGCACTTCCATTTGGTCACAACTGGTCTGATCCAGCCACAACTAAAAAGACCACGACTTACTTCCCCTTACAAAATACCCTCCATGCTTGAAGGTTACACTTTATCAACAGGGCCATGTACTTATGCTTTTAAGGTTTGGAATTGCATATGCATGTTTATAAAATAAACACTATTTGTGTTGAATGTGCACACTGAGATCAAATCTTCTTTAATACTAGTCCTAAATTTTATTTTGCACACCACTGTTTGATGGGTAAATTCTTCTTCCTTCAAAAGGCTGATTTGCAGAATTGTGCGATGCCCGTTTCTAATTCATTCCAAAGAATCACGGGATCCTTTGCTGTTTCTTATCATGTTTGATGGATACATGTTTGTTTTCAAACGGTAGCAAGTACGCACAGCACAAAGAGACTGAATGTTTTATTTGCCACAAGCTGCCATGACGTACATGTAGTTTCACAAAACAGTGGTTATTATCCCTAACAGTCCTCAGTCCTCCAACAGGTGGAGGATTGAGGACGCTAAGGTCATCTCTTCCATCAAAGAAGGTTAAATTTGAAACCTCTAACTCGTGTGAATGTGACTGATCATCCAGGATGTCTTTGCCCTTCTCGACAAAAGTTGTTGCCAATCACATCACAGAAAACAATCAAGGTTTCCTTCCCCTGATTCAGGAAACTTGAGCCTGATGCTAGAGTAGTGGGCAAATTAAAACCTGATTACAAACTGATAACGGGGACCATTTTTGGCCACAATTGCAAGGGGTCACGTTTGGAGTCACTATCACTGATTGACGCAGCTCACCCAATTTCTTGAGAGGACGTCTGCTCCTTTATCAATCAGTAACGCAATGGCTTTCGTGCTGTTCATCTTGGCTGCAGCATTTAACGGGCTTTCCTCCAACTGAAATTCAACAATCACGACAGTCTGAAAAACGGAGGCAACTGTTCTCTCCACAGAACCATTCCAAAAAAAACTTAATCTCACTTTGAATAGGCCATTCCATAGACCCATCTCATACTGCAAACTACCGGTATGGGTGGCCAAAGTTGGCAGAAATATCAGCCTCAGTTGGTGTCTGGTTTTACTTTAAATGTACAGTAGCCCATTACTTGTAACGATCATATTTCATTTAGTGCTTAGTAATTATGTGTGTGTTTGGTGCTGTAATGTCTTTGAGCGATTTTCTAACATTTAAACTGACGTAATTTTTTTTCTGTACTGACTGGTTGACCAAAACACAATTGGAATGCGAAAGAGTAAATATTATATCAATACACAATAAAATTCTTGGGACTATTATATCTAAAAGGCAACCTGTTCTCAGTGAGATGAACAGTCTACATGGAACACAAAGGATACCATAATTTCATGATGGAAAACTCTGCTAATATGCAAGTAAATCCTCTGTAAATACAATTACCTTGTTGGTGATTTCCAGGCTAGCCCCTTTGTCCAAGAGATGTTGGATTGCCTTGACGTTATCTCCAACTGCTGCCATAGTCATGGGCACATTACCCTCCTGGGCATTAACAAAACCAAGCCTGGTGACTAATTAATCAACCATAATAAAACAGAACAAAAAAGGGTCCTTAATCAAGACAGCAAACAAGAATCATCTGTGGACTGCTGCAGTGACTAAATCTATGGGCTCTGTGCAGAAGTACCCCCTCACTGGTGACAAGGAGAAAGGCTGTGCTGACAAGTGAATGCTACATACTGCTATCAATGCTATAAGGTCCAGCTTATCCAATGAAAGAGTTGGGGGCCTTCAAAGACACCATGGTGTGCCATACAACTCTTACACCCACACCAACAACCGTAATAACAAAAGATTCCACAAAGTTATGAGTAACTCACAACAAACTCAAATACATCATCTTGACTAAACTGGACCCAAACATCAGAGGGCGCTGTTGATACTTACATCATCAGTGCAGTCATGCTTAGCCCCTGCATCCAGCAGTATCTTGCACACTGCTTCATTTAACTCAGCCGCAATGTGTAATGCAGTTTTACCTGTCTATAAAACAAAATTATCAACAGATAATTCAATCTGGAAAACTAATTCTGGATTATCGCTCTTGAAAATAGTTCTAGATCATTCAGAGGTCACAAACATTCTAGCCCCTTGGTGGCACCTCCACTTTTTCCTCTGTATCTCAACTTCTTTCACTTCAGTCACTTCCTTTCATCGATAGCTGTATGCCATCTACCTTCAAGTCATGTCTCCTATGCCACGAGGCAATATGTAAAAGCCTTCATGTTGTAACTTTTGTACAGCAAGCTTATTCAATGCAGGCATTTCACAATAAGTACACCCCCAAGAGACTGCAATGCGTTGGCCAATCACAGTGCATAAAAACTGTCGACGCAATGCATGTTTTGGAAAGGGTCGACAGATTTCGCACACCGTGATTGGTCAATGCATTGCAAAGTCTTGGAGGTGCATTATTTTGAATCGGCAATATTTGACAAGAAGTTTGTAGCAGTTTACTGTCTTTTAAAATTCAGACCAGTTTTGGCCCTATTTCCCATGAGTTAGAGATGAATTTTGTGCCAGGACATGAACATTTCATCCAAGCAAGCTGGTGAGTGTTTTTTTTGGGGGGGCACAAGCCCTAAGGTCCCAAGGACCACACCCTGCTCACCAACTGCTCTGGAGAAATGACAACTGTAATTATCGACTATTTGCTGTAATTTTCATACCTGATCTTTGATCTCCATGTCTGCTCCCGCCTGCAGCAATACCTGACATACGCTGGGGTCATCATCCTCATGAGAGGCCTCATGCAGAGGACAGCATCCAGACAACTACAAGATGACAGAGACAAAAAGACAGATTACAGTTGTTTTTTACTCAACTGCTTGTTTCTAATTGCCAACTTGAATCCCTTCCCCCAGGAATTGTGTATCATTCATCTGACTGCATCTCATGCATACACATTTGCCGAATGTCTGCATTTTTCTACTTCAAAATAACTTCCAAATATTTTAAGGAAAATGAAAACATTTCGGGAGAAATATTTTGTAGCTTTTGCTATTTTTCTTTCAGCCATATTTTATATTGGCAAATAATACCACTGCTTCCGTCATATCTCTACATTTACCGACACCCTGTTTCAACTTGTGTCAGCTTTACAAAAGAAAAAAACCACTAGCACAGTTAAGGCTGCCCTTGTTGATTAGTACAAATTGTAACAACTTTATTTTTATTTCCTATGGATTCAATAGAAACCTTCAAGAATCAACAAATCTACTGGCTGTAATGACAGGATTTTACACTTGGGAGTTTGAGCAAAGCAACAGAAATTCTGTCCTCAGTAAAGTGAAGCTATCATCATCCCTAGCAAGTGAGTAACACTGGGGGAAAATTGCACCACCTTTGTGAGTGGTACGCCAGTAGATGAGCTACGTTTTAGTCACAGATGCACTGCACATCTTTCAGAAGTGCTATTAATCAGAAAACCTTACCTCAAGTAAAGCAATAAATAATTGCCTGAGTGAATTTATCATGACCGAAATATATAAATACACTCATCCTGTGGCCAACCTGCATAAAAATATTTCAAATTCTGCATGCACAATTCTGGTTGGGTGTATCATACTCACATTGAACTGTACATTGACATCTGCACCAGCATCTATGAGCACCTGACAACACTGTGGAGCCTTGGATGCAGCGATCAGAATGGCCGTCTCTGCCTCCTCGCTCTAGTAAGACAGAGATGAAGAGGCCTGCATGACTTATGCTTACAGGCCAAGTAACTGGTAACCAACACATTACATCAGTCAGTGAGTTCAACTGACGACCATGCGAGAACCATTGGTTGATTTTGCCTGGTACCCTGTGTGAAAGTTACTGGGGAATATTGCCCTGCAGTTGAAATACGGTCATCGCTCGAACTCTCTCCAGTGTTAACCTTGCTGAATGGGCCTATTAAGTACCTGGAGCTCATCACAGCTCTTTAGTGATTATTAATTCTGTGTAGGTCTAGTATATGGGAGCTTTTAATCTGGGATTCATAGCAACTTTTCACCATTATGCTTCAGTCAGTTTTATCAAATTCAGTTTTATTAACAAAGTACCCAATGCTGAAACCCTTAAGCCCAATGTTGTACAGTGGTGTTTTCCCCACCTCTTTGACCTAGGTCTGGTTCCCGTTTGCATTTGGTTACAAGTCCGACGACATGGGTTTTAACTAGAACACTCTTCTGGGGTTTCCTCTCTTCTCTAAAAACTACCACCGCTTCTCACTGCCTCATCATTACTGGTGTCTTTCGGTTCGTGTAAACTACAGAACCTAGGATGCAGTTTGAGAAACCCTTTGTTTCATTACCAAAGATGCTCAATAATAACTAAATTGAACTCACAAGGCGTTTTGCATTGACATCTGCCCCAGCATCAAGCAAAAATTTACAGGCCTCTGGGCTATGCTGAGCTGCATAGTGAAGAGGTTGCCTCCCTCCCTAGAAGACAAACAAGAGAAATAATTACCCATCGGCTAAAGGTTTAGAGTGAAACACATAGTAAGTTAGATTTCGCATGGTTAAAGCTACCAGACTATCAATATCAAAGAATTCAGGGTGTTACCATGACAACTTACATGCAAGCTTTGTGTTCAAATGCCATGCAAAGACAGTTACTGATTTACATTTGAAATCTGCTAGCTCCGGGTCCATTTGAGAAAAAGAGAACCAATTGTTGGACAAAAATTACTTAGTGAAGTTTCAAAATAGTGACCCCATCGTTCCATAAGATATTTAAGAGGCAGATTTCAAGATATTTTTCCTCTTTAGTTGACCTTGATCTAATTTCATATACATTTACTTCAAAGACGTCATCTCTCACAACTGACAAGACCGACTAAATTGTCTGAAAATTGTTATCACCCAGTCGCCTCGTGTTTGTAACTGATCAAAACACATCCCGTCTTGTTTACATTTTAGCAGTTTTAGCCTTGGTTTGATAATAATGAAAAGGCTTGGGAAAAGCAGCGTAGCGAGCGGGGGGGGGCTGCATCCTCCCAATAATTTTTTTCAGTCGGCAAATTAAAGGGTCAGTCGGCAAATGAAACTGAAATTGACGTCATGAATTATTGACGTACATCGACCAGTTGGCCACCAGCGTTTCCCTAAAGCTGCCTGAAGCTGTTATTGTTATTGTTTTATTTACCGACAGGTCGTGGCCAATAGGTCAAATAGTATGTGAGTTTACAAAATTAATAAAGACATTCACTTGATTTTAAAGCCATTAAAGGTAAACACTTAAACAGAAAATAAATATAGACACCTAAACACAATAAAAATTCCTTGAACATTGAATATAAATACATATATACAAAAACGATATACATATTAAGACGACAGTCACGTAACAAAGGAATAAGTTCAGCTAAGAAAAATAGGATTAGCTACATCTAGCCATCAATGTGAAAAAAGGTACTTAATGGCAACGGTAAAATGAAGATTCACACAATTAAAAATCAAAATGAGAAGAGTAGGAGCATAAGAGATAAGGTTATAACCCAAACCAGTAAACACAGCCGCTTGTTTTCGAGGTCCGCTGCGAAAGCCATGTTGAATTTGCCATTTCCAGATATTTATTCTCCTGTTAATACAAATGATTGATCTCTATGTCCATAATGCGCAAATATTTGCCTCATTTTTTGATTGGATGGGGTTTTTTTTACGTGCAACGACAACGTTTGGACAGTGACTATGCAACGAGGCAGAGTGCCTTTTTATGTGCAGTAAAGAAACTGCACAATGACTGTACAACGTGCAAGCTTGTCGAGGTGCCATGACTTGCAATTCGATCACTGTGCAGCTGCATGATCAAGCGTTGTTCATATTTCGAATCCATGCCACATCATTCTATTTTCAAATGAAGAGAGTTTAACTTCAATATAAATTTGTTGAGTTAGATCCTCTAACTGAATAAATGGGGTTCAAATTTCTGTCAGAGAACTGGGAATCCTGATCTCTGCTGCCTTACAGGTGACTCTATTACAACGTCCTGTGGTCCAATGGTCCATGGATTTTTGCTGGAAAATGTACAGGAGCTGCTCCTTGAACGATCATCATTTTTTGGATTTTTTTTTTAAACAATTAAATCAAAATGTGAAATAAATCAATGGATTGGTACTAAAAGTAAATAACAATCACCCAAAATCCCATATTCACTAATTTCTAAAAATTACTACAAATGCAAATCCTACACACCCCCTTAAAACACCCCCTCTGCATTTCACTAATTTCAAGCGTTACGTGAACTAAATTGCCAAACAAGTTACAAGTTGGCAAATTGACCCTGGCACACCCTCCCCCCCAATAAACTGCCTTCGCTATGCCACTACTTGGGAAAGAAGTCAGACACTCCTGCTTTTTCTGTATTTTGGACTACGTACTGGAATAAGTTGGCTGGAATGATTATTTAACCAGTGATATGAATTTGTCTGTGCTGTCTCTGACAGCAACATTTCAGAAACTAACAAACCTGAAAGGACAAACACGTACATGACCTGGCCTTACAAAGCATGCTACCCGATGACGGGATTTTCTTGACAGTTTAGCCCTTAGGCTGTAAGATTCTTAACCTGTGGTATTAATAGATTGGCTCCTCCATGTTAATGAGATGGAAATCTCTCATGTAAGACTGTGTCTGAATTATTTGTCATTGGCTTATTTGCAAACGACTCTATGGATACTGCAGACTTGTGTCATTTCAAGCCGCAGCCGAATGTTCCCACAACAGGGCTTCATACTTACAATGTCTTCTGACTCTACAGCGTCCACTTTAGCTCCTGCAGCCAACAGGATTGGAATGGCTGAAGGATACCTTTGAGCAGCAGCATGAAGAGCTGTTGAACCGTGCTGAAATCAGAAACGCAACCAAACGATTTTTTTCTAAATGCCTACATGCATCTGTGATCTTTCAAAATTCACTTGGAGATTTTGAAGGATTTGACAAATTGGGGATGGTAGACCCTAATCACTTGAGCTAAATCGATACTACTCCTTGCAGGATGATTCAGAAAGATTGCCATTTATCAAACATCAGCTCCACTGGTCTTTGACTCAGAGCTTAAAGACAAAGTTGGAGATGAAATAAAGCTTTGAAAACGTGGCAACGTCACCAACAAGCATCCATGCCCAATAGAATACAGAATGTGGCGGCCCATTAGAAAGATAATACTTCCTCAGTTGAACTACGCAAATTCTGCGTACGTTATCAGCCTGGTTGACATCAGCACCAGCTTCCAAAAGAATCTTGCAGCATTCTGTGTTGCGTTCAGCAGCGCAAAGCAAAGGGAAAATACCACGCTAAGAAAGAGACAAAAATACAGGAAATTCAAGGGAACAAATCAACCATATCAGATGTTCTAATGCATCCTACGACCAATTGCCATAGCCACACCCCTCCTTTCTTCACTATACCTTCAAACAAACCACTAGTAAATACCGATCCGAGAAATTCAGTATTTGTTTTCCGAACTGAACGGCATCATACAAAGCCAAAAGAATGTTCACACAGTGAACAAGTGGGAGGTGGTAGAGGAACCTGACTGTGTTCCACATGTTGATTTATGGCAGCTCTGTGGGGACATTATGGGAAGACTATTGCATCAGTCACTGGCCCACAGGAAAAAGGGCCCAACACCCACAAAAAGGTAGTACAGTAATCCGAGTCTGCTAGAAGTCGGTCACCAGTCTGATCACAAATAGGGATGAATAGGGACAATGCTGAAGGAGACCTTGTGAAGATGACCGAGTGGTGTGGGTCAGTGCTGGTGAGAAAATGGCAAAGCCTCGGAAATGTTATTTAACTAGCTAAACAGCAGACATTTATTCACAAATGACCGATTTTGAACCCCAGCGTGAGCACAACTTACTGACCTCGCTGTGTGCCAAGTTGACATCAGCTCCTTTCTCCAGCAGGGCTCTGCAAACCTCTGGAGAATCAAAGGCTGCATACATCAGCAATGTAAAGCCTTTGTGGAAGCGCTGTTAGTTGGGACACAAAAACATAGCCGACTCTTTGAATCAACGCTATTAAAGGAGTACCTTCCGACGACAACATTGTGGACCCCTTTGGCATAAATGCAGCTGCTCAAAATCAGGGTTTACTTCAAAATCAATTTTTTTATTGAAATTACTGTGAAATATATTATAGGAAACAAAGCCCTGATAACATGATGTCATGCAAGAAAGACAAACACATGACAGCTCCAACGGTCGACTTTGTCAACAGAAATATCCTGCGGATGAAATCTGGCATTTTTCGGCCAACCTTCAGAGACAGATTTCAAAATACGCATGCACGAGGCGAAATTTCTTTTCAATAAACTCCAGTCCCTTCTGAAACTTGGACTTTATTAACTAATTAAATTTAGGCGTAATACTTCACACAACTAAAAACAATGTCAGCAATTAACTTTATGAAAGTCGATGTGTACTGAAAAATATGGGTACATCCCACACTGTGTTCATCCAAGAGTGCACTTCTGTGGTTTGGAGCGTAACAAAATCTCGTAGTGTCAATACAATGGCTAATAAAAGAGATCTTCAAACATGTTCAAATTCCTGGCATTGCCCCACAGAGAACCCAAATTTAGGTGAAAAAAATGGTAAATGAAAATTCACAGCATGCAAGTCTGGCTGCACCTTATAGTGTATCTCAACAACTAGAATTAGGGGTTATAACTGTGGTGGTGCAAAGCTCTTGGACAGGTGGTCCGCACACTTTACGTGCCTCATCAACCAATAGGATGTCGTTATTTGCCAAATGCAGGTGCACATCAAGCTGAAGAACAACAGTTTAAACGTCTTATCAGATTAGTTTATACTCACAGCGAACTTTACATTGATATCTGCGCCAGCATCTATGAGCACCTGACAACACTGTGGAGCTGTTATTACAGCAATCTGGATGGGTGTCTCTGCCCACTCACACTAGTAAGATGGGGGATGAAGAAACCTGAAATTACTCACATTTACAGGTCAAGTAACTGGTAACCAACACTTCACATCAGTTGGAAATTCGATTGAAGGCCATGTGATAACCTTTGGCTGATTTGCTTAGGTCCCCCAGACAAAATAGCCCTGTGGTTGGCACTGGTCAGCGCTTAAACTTGCTCCACTGTCAACCTTGCTGAATGGGCCTAAATGAATACTGGAGTTCATTTCAGCTCTTCAGTAAGCAACAACTTTGTGCCGGTGCTCTTCATCCCGTTCTCCACTGTTTGCATCAGGCTTCATTCAGTGTCATCTTCAATTATATGAAGGAAGTACCCCACATTAAGACCCTCACGCTAAATGCTGTTATTTAACCACTTGATATTGTTGACGTTGGATGAGATGTAAATAAACACACAGTGTCCTTATTTTCCATGGAGGATGTGTAAAATCATTTTAGAATTTTGGTTTTCTTTTTTTTTCTTTTTTTCATGGTTGACGTATTAATGTATTTTGCTTGATTGTATCATTAGTAAATTGCAATTTTGAAGAATTGCCAGCAAAGAAAAATCTACCCCCTGGCAGCCTTTTCAGGTAAGTAAATCCGACATTGACTGATCAACCTAAGGCTAAATTCTGGACAACTTTTATGTGGATCCAGTGGTATAAACACATCATAAAACCAACTGCTTAACTCAAGGTGAGGGTACTAAGAAGCTGAAACTGGAAAAAAAAACACACACACAAGTGAATGGCCTACTCACAGCAGCAACTGGATACATTTTGAGGAGCCCCTAGTTCCATTGCTGGAGATACTTAACAATAAGTCAGTTGAACTCACAGCGCGTTTGGCATTGACATCTGCCCCAGCATCAAGCAACAGTTTGCAGGCCTCTGGGCTTTTCTTAACTGCCCGATGTAGAGGCTGTCCCCCTCCCTGGAGAAAGAACAAGAAGTACCCATAAAGTAGCTGTTTACAGTAAATCACATAAAATCTTCTTAGATTTGGTATGGTTAAGGCCAATACGTATATCTATATCAAAGAATGAAAATGTTACTACAACTCAATGTAAACTGTGTGTTCACATCCCATGCTTGGAATATATTTAGAAACCTAGTCGACATTACCAAAAATGAAAGGGCACTGGTACCCTCTTCTGGCTCATCAAAGACAGTGTAATTGAAACTCCTGATGAGTACCACTTATTAGACACAAACAAAAATCAGTGAGATTTCAAAATAATGATGCCATTTTCCTGTAAGATACTGAAGGGAAAGAATTCAAGATAGTCACTTTCTTCGTAAACTGGCTTTGATTTGATTCAAAACATATTGCACCGGTAATATCCTGCACAAATAATGACACCCACTAGATTTTCTGATGACATGCATCACAATGCTGTGATGTCATCAAACTGAAAATCGACAACACTCTGCCATCTCATGTTCGAAACAGAAACGTCTAGGTGTGGTTTACTTTTAGATAAAATTTGGGAGAGACTGTCATACTCCAGCTTTTTCAGAAATACCTGGCTATCTGTGCCAGTTGCAGATAGATAAGTATTTTGGACTATGGACTGGAACAAGTTGGTCAAGATGATTATTTAACCACAGTGCAAGTTGGCTTTATTGTCTCTGACAGTGACATTTGAAAGGAAAAAAACAGCCCTCGGGGAAAACGAGCACAAAACCAGAACCTGCAGAGCATGTCAGACAGTGATGAACTATTCTTGACATTTTGGCCTTTATGCTAAAGATTCTTGTGGTGACAACAGATTGGCTCACCGACATTGGGGAGATGTAATTTTCTCATGTCAGGCTGTTTACATTACACGTACTTGGCCTCGTCTTAAGGTTGCTAATGACTGAGTCTATGGGTAGTGGCTGCAGTCATTATTCATTGACTTGTGTTTAATTTCAAGTTATACAGTAACAGAATCCTCTGATGGGGCCTATAAACCAACCATGTTCTCCGACTCATAAGCATTCACATCAGCTCCTGCAGCCAACAGGATTGGAATTGATGGCGAATTAACCTCAGCAGCAAGGTGTAGAGGGGTTGCACCATCCTAAAATCAGAAAGACAAATACCAAAAATCATTACTCTCAACAATCCTTCAAAATTCCACTTGAAGATATTGAAGGATTTGACAAATTGAGGATGGAAGACCCCAGATCACAACTGGGGCCAGTATCAAAATTGATTAGTTGATTCAATGATGATTCAACATGATTCCTAGCAAGAACATACACATTAGGTTTATTAACTTTTACAAGATTCCTTTCTACTATGAGTTCATGAAGAACTGTACAGGCCACACCTTGTGAGGCCAACTTGCCACAACCAAATGATGAAGGCTTAGAAGGGCATTTTTTCTGTTCATGCCAAGATGTGAGAATTCTGAATGTAGATTACATCATTCTGAGAAAACAGAGAAGACTAGGGGAACCTTTGCCCTGTGTTCGTAGTGCACAAACACCAAACAATGGTATGGCCAGAAATGCTGACTTAGAAAATCCTACCTACCTTATCAGTCTGGTTGACATCAGCACCCGCTTCTAGGAGAATCTTGCAGGATTCTGCATTGCGTTCCGCAGCAAAATGCACAGGGCAAAAACCAGTCTAAGACAGACATACAAATACATACAAATCAAGGCATTCTGATAACTGTGTCAAATATTCTAATGTACCCAACAACTCATTGCCAGAAGCTCCACCCTTTCTTCTCCTCCTGTATTTTCAAACAAATTGAGCAACAGAATTTTGAACTAGAGCCAATGTGCCTGGGATCAAGGCAGTCATAATGAAAGCTCAGCTTATTAAGTGGGTTGAGGACGTGTTTCGCATGGATAACACACACATATACCAAACATGGTCTTCTCAGAGCTAGCTTCTAGCAGCAGGAGCATTGGACGGCCACTCAAACGCTACAAAGATTGTCTAAAGACATCCTTGCGATCGTGTGGTATTACTCAACGTAGATGGAGACTTTGGCCACTGACCGCAGTGCCTGGTGACCTGCTGTCCTAAGTGGAGGACAGGCATTTGAGGAGAGGTGTCTACAAGATCTATACCTGAAGCGTCAAGCCTGTGAAGAGAGGAGACCTGATCCAACAGCTGCTGGATCAACAGCTGCTATATGCCCACAGTGTGGCCACATCTGTACATCCAACTTTGGGCTACGTTAACATCAACGGCACCTTTAATTCCTCAGTCGCTCACAAATGACTTCCATAATGAACAAATTTATAAAAAAAAATTATGTCCAGCAGTATGTATACCCAAGCTTAGATCAAGTTCAACTTCACTTTCAGAAAGCAGAAAGCCTTTCTTTTTTATCACAGCCTCAAAACGGTTCTTGTACTTGCTCACAAAGTTTTGACAGGTTTCTACGGGGCTTTCGGCCAACTCCTCCTTTTTGAAAGTCTCAAGGTCTTTGAGATGGGAAAGCCTCCTTGCCATCGCTTGAGTCTTGAAAAATGGCTCTTTCCAGAAGGGGGTACGGCTGCTTATTAACGGTGGCTTGTGAACACTGCTTCCATGTGATAACGGTAAACCTACTGACCTCCTTTTGTGCCAAGTTGATATCAGCCCCTTTCTCCAGCAGGGGTCTGCACATCCCTGGAGAGTACTGGGCTGCGAACATCAGCATCGTACGACGACGACTGGAGACCTATTAATTGGCACATAAAAAAAAACATAGCTGACTCTTCAAATCAATGCAAAATGGAGCACCTTCTAACGACAGCACTGTGGACACCCCGTTCAACCATTGCCATAAATGCAGCCATTACAGTTTCGTTTCAGAGTCCATTTTCTGGACCGAAATTACCAAGTGAGATTTATACAGAGATGCAGGTAACAAATCCCTGATGACACAAAAATGTAATGTGGGAAAACAGACAATGCATAAGGGTACAAGGACAATCCTTAAATTGTGTCAACAGAAACATCTTGCAGCCGTTTCACCCCAGTACCAGATTCAAAGTGGTCACACCAAAGGGCGGTCCCTCAACCAATGTTTCAGTTCCTCAAAATATCTGCACAGCAGAAACTGCTCTGAACTATTTTCTTTACATAGCAATTGCATAATTTTGTGTGGCAGTTTTTTTCACAATAAAACTCCATGACATTATTGAATATCCATATAAAAGAGAATAATAAAACAAAGGAAGGCTTAAATTTACCAATGGTCTTTCTAATCACTGTCAGAGCAAGTGGGTTCTCAATCTAGGGCTGGAAATTTTGAAGTGCGTCGAGTACATTTAAGCATAAAGTACCTGAAAACACCTGCGCAAGGGATCTGCCCAAAACATCTGCCCATTATGCACATAAACAGCTGAACACATCTGAGTATCTTGCCCCCTTTTTTCTGTTGAACTACATGTAAATTGGACTGTTAAAAGAATCTTACATGTACCTGCATTTAAATACAAACGTCTGAACACATGTTGGCTTTCTCACGTGGCTGGCAATGGCTTACTTGCAAAACGATGTGACCTTGTGTGAATTACTTGGCTGTGGCCTAAAATTAGTATGCAGTGTGCACTAGTCTATGGTAGTGGCTGAAGCCAGTTCTCATAGAGTTGTGTGTAATTTCCAGCCATAGCCAAGTAATTCAGATGTGGCCTATGTTGATGTACCCTAATGTGGCGCAGTCTGATTTTTCGCCTCTAGCGCCATGCTGGAGAAATATTTGTACCTTGAATTTCATCATAAGTGAAATTGGAAGCTCCCAACATCCCGATTCAAAAATTTGATTTTACAACATCTCGACCAGCTGAAAGTTCCCATAAAAATTGTATTAAATGCTTCCAAAATATGTAAATAATCTTCAAACTTACGGCTTGGTTAGTGAAGGTACATGTGTAAAATCAATTTAGCAGAATTAGTCATCTTCGAAGAATTTCTTGAATTTTTATTTGAACTTTTTTCAAGTGCCCTACGCAGGCATGGTAGGGAAACACTCAGCTGAAATCTTGCCCAATTTCTGGACGCTGCCGTTTTTTAATTTCAGAATAAATTTCATGACACTGAAAGATAACAGGTTCAACAACATGTAACTTGAATTTTATAGTGCAATGTTTAAATAAATGAAGTTTTTCAACAAGGAAGTTGGCAACAAGTCAAATGAAAAATGAAGTGCGCCATTAGGGGACTCTAAAAAAAAATGTACAATCCAGTAACACATGATGCACTTTACATAAATTTCTCTATAACCAAAAGCGTAAACATACATTAGGCCAAAATGCAACATCAATCACTTTGTTGGGTTTTTTTGGTTCTTTCAAGTTTTTGAGGGAGCTACACAGAATGGGGGACAAGTAAGACCATGGCTCTGTCTCACAGAAAACTTCATCTTAAGGTCTAAGTCTGGTCTGTGTTATTCGGCTGACATACCGGTAAAAAAAAATTCACATCGATATCATGTTCCTCCAAGAGCTGTTTTCCACGCGCAACTTCATTTTTCAGAATGGCAAGCAACACCATGAAAGGTAGTTTTTCTTCTGGTGATAAAGAAACATTCTCATCTTCATCTGAGGACATTTTGCTGTGACAGATTCAATTCGTCCTGAAACAAACAAATCCAATGTGCACTGTAATTAATTTGCAAAATAAAGAGATGCACTTCCTGATAGTTATGCAACAGCTTCATCCTAAGACACAGCACTCTCTGAATAGCGTCCGAACATCTCAAATGTTTATGTGGTGAAATTGCAAGTCTGGTTTTAAGTGCTTGCCAAATTCTATCTGATCAAACTCACTAACTTACCAAGTACCAAGCTTCCGGCAGATACGGAGACTCAAAATTGATTAAGTGAAGGCCCACAAAACTTGCAGGCACTGAGTAGAAATTGTAACAGTTTATTTGTCATTATAATCGTGGAGGAAGGAATGTACGTGGGGCCCCTACTCAGCAAGCAGTGTTTTCTGGGGGTCTCTAATATTCAACAGCTTTGGTATCACTTTGTATCTGCATGGACAATAATGTGCAGTCAAGTAATCTTAAAATTGTTTAACGTCTTATGAATAGGTCTTATGTACTTTTAATGTAAACACAGACTTCTATTCCAGTCATAAAACACAGAGTCCAAGTCTGAGTCCAAGTCCCATCTCTCGAGTCCGAGTTCCAAGTCACCTCGGTCGAGTATGAGTAATGAGTCACAAAGGTCATGTCCGAGTCCCCTTTATTATTGTATTAGAAACACATTTTCAGGTTCTGCAAATATTCTTTTTACCACAGCTCTCTGATTTAATGAACTGGACAGACATGTACATCCAATAAACCATAGAAAATAAACTCTGACAAAAGGTGTTTTGATTTATCAATTTGATTGTACCCATGCACTCAAACCCTACATGTACTCTTCATTCCCAGCTTTTACTGCTGGCATTTGTTATTAGGGACATATCATGGGAGAAAGACAACAGGATAGGCCAATTGGCATAGCGGTAGGTTTATCCATGGCCCATGCTATAGTGTGACTCGAGTTCTTACCATGTAGACTACTGCAGGTCCCACCAATCTTTGTCAGACACTCAGAGGTATAATTTAGCTTATATGATGAGAAAAGTGGAGTCAGGATGCAACATTTTTTCCCCTAAAAGTACTCCAAGTACTCTGTTCTCAGATTTGAGGACTCAACTCCAACACTGACGGTTTCCAATTCTGGCTGTCGAATTATATGTACACTTGGATCTTTGGCTCACACTGTAGTGACTATAATCATGGAAAACATTTAGGCCTCGGCCTGTCCTAGCCTTCATGTAAGTAGACCTATTTTATTTGGGAGTCAACCGAACTTTGATGTGGCACCACACATGAAGCATTAGGGCCTAGGCCTAATTTTACAAGATCAAATTTGTGGGAAAACTCCATGTATCAATATACGCCCCAGCCTACGAGTACGATCACGCTGCATGCGCAGCCTAAACGGGATCTAATCCAGCCGATTTTTACGGGTTCGCAATGCTACGGGGTTTTTAATGCAGCCCAGTCAGGTGATGTCAAATCGTCAAATCAAGGGACCCAGCGTACACGAGTACGAGTCCGCCCATGCGTAACTTTGAATTTTTACGATGTAGCCTTGACCCACATTACTTGCAGCAAAACTTCCGTTCCACTCCTCAATCAAATCTCCCCCAAAGCTATCGAAACTAGTGCATAGGTTTATCTCTAATATACAAACCGACGACCTACATGTACATGACTGATTATTTCTTTAAAGAAATCAAACCTTTACCACTCGTAGGCCTATCCTCTCATTCCTGCCTGACAAAACCGATTCAAACACTTCGCACACTTCGCAGCGCAGCGTATAATTTAGCGCGGATCGGACCGGCTGGCCGCGCCATGCGCCACCAGGCCGAGGCAGCACAGCCCATCCCCAACGCACCACGCGTTACCATTACGCACGCCGGGGTCGAGCGGCGGCCACGGAGGTAGTGTACTGCTGGTAGTCTGGCCCCCAGTCCGGGACAGTATGCACCACGCCCACATCGTCGCCATACCGCCCAGCATAGCTTCCGGTGAACCACGTCACGCTAATCGGCCAAACGTTTGTTCTTCAAGCTATTCATGTTGCGCAGATATGATGCGCGCGACTGTACGTGACCTCGGGCCAGCAGCAGCACGCGTGAAGTACATGCACGATTGGGCTTTCATGTACTCTACATGTACATGTACATGAAAGCCCAATCGTGCCAATGAACTTGAGTATAAATTTTCAGCTTGACACTAATTCGAAATAACAAATTACTAATTCGAAATAACGATTTACTAATTTGAAATAACGAATTTCTAATTCACCTCGGGTTGTCTTCACCGTACTGTGCTCAGCTGCCAGTGGCTGAAAGCATCCCCTCTTTCCTCCATGCTGGAAGCAAGCACAAATCGTGTCCTCCTGTCGGAAAGTTTCGAGAGCCGGCTTTAAGTGTGGCTGACCCTCATGGACTGGGAGTGGAACCAATTTCATGCCAGGTGCAAAAACCTTGTTTGATTAATTCATTTCAAAAACATTTATTTCCATACTTTCATTAACATGCGAATCAAAGAATACACGTAAAATAAATACGAACCATAAGTACAATGTAATTATAAGAGAATATATATAAAACTTTAAAAGATAGAAAGTATGGGGCTGTTCATATCGAGGGCTTGTAGAGAACATGCAATTAAACAGGGGATAAAATACTGAAAGCAGACAAGAAAAAACGCAACCAACAGTGAAGACTAGACTAACATCTAAAACAAAAGAGTTGAAGACTAGCTGTGAAAATGAGCAGTGACATCAATAGATACTGGAGTAAAGGTGAGGTAAAGCATGAAATAAAGGACAAATCAGGTTACCTAGCCAAAGCTCCATTTAGGCTCAGCTGTCTTTTGGTTAGTACAAGAATCATAGGGTGTGTTGGTTAATTCGAGCGAGCTGCTCGCGTTAACACGAATAACTTAAATAACATTCATCTGAGCGCTCGAACGGCTGACGTATGACCTGCAGGCTGCCCCTGGTGTATCCGAGCATCCTCACTCGTGTTAACAGGAGAATTCGCACGAGCGCATCCAGGTTGTCGTGATTTGCAGCAGGATCTCCTTTATTATACATATGGTCTTTATAATGGAGATCAACATTGGCTGCCACCCATAGAGCTCTCTCTCACCGCAGTTATGGCTTCTACTAAGATTAATCAATTGCGGGAAATATAACTGTCTAAAGAATTTGGGTATTTGCATACCGCGTAAGTGTGCACTGGTATGGAACCACAGACCTGAAGGAGGAATATAATTGATGTTATCGCAGATGTTCAATGGAACAAATTAATAGACATTGCACGAAACGTTAGTGTGTATAAAATTGCATGTGCTTTTCTTGGAGTTGGACACCGTATTTCTCCAATGAATTGATTTCAGTCATGGATACTTATGAGTTGTTGGTACGTGATATTTCAACAGTTTAAGGTATTATTACGCTCCTACAAACTATTCCCCTTATTTCTATTGCACACACCACGCACTCAGCCCACAGCAAGCGTCAGCGCGCGACATGCCGTTGCTGAACCGCTAGCTACTCCGCAACACATTTCCAACTGACATGATACAGGCAAGATGTTCACAACCTGAAGCTAATTGATCTCGAAATGACGACATTGTAAAGGTCAGATGGCGACATCCTGCGATAATTTATCATAGGAAGACGACATCGTAACAATTAGGTGACCACATCCTGAAATAATTTAGCATGGGATGACGACATCACGAGATAATGATTATCGTCATTAGTGAGGATGTCAACATCCAACTGTTACGACGTCTACATCCCATGATGAATTATCTGAGGATGTCATCATCCAACTTTTATGATATTGTCATCCCGTGATAAATTATCCCAGGATGTCGACATCTTGCGTTTATTATGTCGTCATCCCGAGAAAAACATGTCAGGATCTCAACAAGTTGGGTGGCACTTCCAGAGCTCCGTAGAAATCCATTCTTGGAAACGGAAGACCACAAGTACACAAAATCCCCATAGAGGGTACAGTCCAATGATTCAAGCCCCATTGAAAACGGTGTAAAATCAGCACTGTTCAGGGCCCAATAACATGCACACCCACATCCCTGAGATTTCTGAAACACAAGTGAAATTCTTGTCTGGTCACTAATCTTTCAATTTCTTTTCAGTTTTTTGTGGGTTAACCTATTACATTTTTAATTATTCCCACAAAACAAAATCACCCCCCAAAAAGTGATTTTTCCGAAGGCTGATTGCAGCAATTTTGCAAGTGGCAACCCTCAACTTTCTTGTGCACGTAGGACCATTTTCCAACCGTAGTTTTTAGCCATTCAGCTCTCATATGAAAGCTCAAAGACCCAGGGAGTTGATCCTGGCAAGGATTTACACAATCTCACCATTTTGGGGGCCAAATGATCTCCTTTTTCAAAAGATACTGTACTAGGGGCATTTTAATGCTAATGAGCTGGCTAGAAACTCTCACTGGAATTAGTGGTCTGCACCCACAGATCTTCCTTCCTCCCCATAGAAATTCCTTCTGCAGACGTTCTACATGTATGAATAATTCATAACCACCCCAATCCAGCACTCTCATTAGCTGAGACGCGGTCCCGAAAGTCTACATAAAACGACCAGCTCCAACGGTGAGCATCGATCGTTCCCCGAGCGGGCAGCTCCGAGGTAACAACTCCTTGACCGTTTGCGAGCGTATATTTATCTGTTACTCCGGAATAAACAACTTGTTCGCTGAAATGAGACAGTAACACATGCCCTGATTAGTCGAAAGTTTTTAATGCGCTTTTTCGCCTAATGAGGGCGCTACATACGATTTACGGGCCGCAAAGCGTAATTTTTCCCAGGAGGGTGCGGGGTAATAATAGAATGGGCGTATCTGAACTGCTGCGCTTGCGTTTTTCGTAGAAAGGTTGGGAGCAATGATCATAAATGAGGTGGACAAAATTTTAAGGATAACATACAACAAAATTGCTCTCTCGGCCAGTTGCATGGTAGCTCAGAAGAGCACTGGTCTTGTAAGCATCAAGGCAAGGGTTCAAGTCTACATGTATGCAGTTATTTTTCTGGGGGGGGGAAGAGCTGGGAAGAGGACGTTTTTGTAATAGGAAAGAATACCTTCTAACTTAAGTTTCTAAGGGTCCACTATCAAGCTTGTAGTTAACCACGCTCATTTCTGAAAATTGCCCCCTGACCCTCCTAGGAAAATAAATTACGCTTACGGGAATTACTTCAAGAATTCTTGCCCCTCCCCTCCCCAAGAGAGATGACAGTACAGTTTGTAAAATGTGACAACATCCCATGAAATGTGTTCCAAGGCCATATTTTGGGTAACTGTTTTCGTTTACACTGAAAAGCCAGAGTTTGTTGTTTTGCTAGGTTGGGTCACAAATGCTGGTGCTTTCTAAAGCCCAAATGGCACATTTTTTTTCCTTTTTCCTTGGAAGGGGGTCACTTTGCATTCATCACATAGAACCTACTACAAACACACAGGCCACTAGACCGCATTCAAAACTACATACACATATTGTGATGCATGCAGCACACAAGGAAAATCAAATCTTTGGGCAATCCTACCCTTGGTATGGGGAATATACACAGTTAACTTCCAGCAATAACATTCTATGAAACTGTTTTTAACTGTTTAAAAAATTCTCCAAGTACTAAGCCTATGTAGATTGAAAACAATGTGCCTGCAACATCTGAGTTAACATGACCAAAGCACAAAAAACTGTACACATGCGCTCAACTGAGCACACAATACAAATGCAGGCAATGCAGACGTATGCCTGTTACATACTACAAGCATTGAACACGATTATGATGCATTGCAAGGCACACTGAGCGCTATTACATTGCACTGCCATCTTGAACTTTTCCAAATCACAGTTCTACACACAACACTGGCAGTCAACGCATTTACGTCTGTGCTGAATATTCACTGGTTACACCCAGACCACAGAGATAGATGCCCCAAACCCGCAAGTGATTTATAATATCAGATTGACAGCAAGATAAGAAGCACCCGTGAAATGTGATCTTTGTTAAACCAGTCAGCCTGCAGACTTGACCTTGTGATTCAGAAACACTCCCGACAGTTTTTATTCAAATCAACAGTCACTGCTTTCACTTTTTTTATTCAGATGACCACTTTAAATAGTCAAGATAAGGGACATTTCCATGGTTTTACCTGATTCAATATTCATATATTTCAATTAAATTCTAGTGAAATAAGATTTGTTTATGAAATGCTTCAGTAAAAAACTTGAACAGTAATGTGTTTCAAATTTGTTTTCATGGGAAGGTGACAATGATTTCCTTTGGTAAAACAACACTTTGCTTCAGGCTGAAGTACACATTCCAGTCAAATGAACTATAAATATCTTTGGCTTAAAAGCAAAATATCCTTCAAAGTTTTACATTTATTTCAACCGATTGTTTTACCATGAAAATAACATTTGTCACTCTCTTAAACAACCCTTATGCAAACCCTCAAGTACAAAAATTAAAATAAAAAATCTGTGACATTTTCTAAAGGTATGTTCTCATGTCTAAAAGGCACAAACACCTGCATTACAAGTCATATGTCAAGAAGCCAGTTCTTGGGTTACAATAATGCACCAAACATTCTGAACCAGTTTTTGGCAGGTATAAAACAGCAACCGAGTAGGAGCTTCAAGTTCTTGAAGGTATTGTGAGCATTGCTGAAGGCAATTTGGATCGCAAGGGTTCCAGACAGGCAATCCTATCTTGATGTGTTTAACCCTACAAGCCGAGTTATTTAACTTCAAGAAAGTTTCACAAGGCTGTCACTCACGAGAGTCCGCCCAATATTGTCCCCTCGCAACAAAAGTCATTAACTTGAGTCTACAGAAAATATCTGAAACTCCAAAGAGATATTCCGTAGTAAAAATGAATGGTCAGCTACAAAGTAAAGATCTGATGAATGCTCAGCACTGTGATCCCAGGCCTGATTGACTTTGTAGAGAGCCACAACAGCCGACTCCCAGGTACCTGAAAGTCCAATGGGAAAGGAAGAAGTATCAATGAACAGTGGCCATTATTTTACTATGTCTCAGAACTGTGACACTCAACAATGCAGATTTTCCTCTCACGCTACTATATTTCGGTTTTAAAACAAAAAAACCCAGGATATTGTCTTATTAATACTATTTGAATCTAGGCAGGGCTGCTCATGGTAAATAGTTGCTCGCAAGTGCTTTGCTCACTTGCATCGCCCTGCGTGTCAGTTATTGCTAACTTTGAATTAACTTGAGTTAAAAAAAATGTTGGGTAGACTCTGTCCCCCCTTTTTCTAGAACATTTTGCAGGGATCCAGAAAAGGATACGTTTTTGCTGTGTGATTAGACTCCTCAATTGCCAGCAAACCTAGCTTTAGGGCATCCATTTTCAACTTCCTTGGAACTCTACCATGATAGCCATATCACCTTGACACTGAATCTGTCAAAATGTCCTAATAATGCCTCTAAAAAGAGACACAAGCCAAACTGATTCTTCTCACCTGACGAGGCCACCATGATGTCGCATACTTCAGCATAGTCTCCATATCTGATATACAACTCCCCGTGCCTGCCGCTCCCTGGATATCTGGAGGCCAGGAGTTCTCTCCTGGGTTGTCTGTCCTGCCTTGACGTTGAGGAATACACCCTGAGATGTGAGAAGGTTTGTTCCTGCAGACGATACTCAAAGCGCAGTAAGCCCTGGAACACGAAACCAGACAACGCCCATGTTTGACATTAATTAAGTATCCATTTTAACACTCTCATGCACAGGCAGCCAGAAGTGGCAAGAATCTAAAAGTTCTCTGAAAATTTTGAACAATGCTCACAAAGATGGGAGTTTTTCATAAACTAACCAGCAAGCTTAGTACTTTCACAAAGACATTTTGTGTATGCTTGGGTAACACATTTCAGAACGCTTACTTGAGACCTCATTTCTGATCTGATTTTTGACAGACTCAATCTGAACTCTAAGAGCAAAATATTTGGTCAGAAGCTCACCTTAAAGTTTGCCGCTCTCAGTACGGCAGCCCTTGCTTCATCAACAGCTAGGAACAATCCCTCAGTCTTACGGACGACATATGAGCCAGCTTCTGTGGTCGGTTTCACAGTAGGGTACAGGCCCTTGCTTGGCAAGTCCAGGGTCATGTTGGTGACCTTCAACTGGGACGTGAGTTTCTGTAAACTTTTCCTGGGGAGGTAAAGCGTTCATCTTCACAAAGTAAAAAGAAATCCTCCAGTTTTTACTTAGGGTCTTGAATTTGACATCGTGAAGCACGTACATGTAAACAAGCAGCAAGGTATAAGAGCTTTGTAAATTTCGGATTATAGATGCTCTGTAGTGCAACCTGAGGCAATTCCTGGCCCCTTTGCCCTCAAGTTATTGGAGCAAAATCTTCTCGAGAGCAAGGATATTTGTTTATGGTACTGAGCTGCATGCTGTCAATGCTTTACTCCGGAACTGCTGTACTCGATACAAATACAACACCACTCACACCATGCTTCTCAAGGATTGTAAAGCTTGCAAAAGCAGTTGCCCACCATGTGCTCACTTTCCGTATTCGTCAGTAACAACTTGTCGCATCATAACTGATTTCACTTGTTTTACCGATTTGTCTAGCTCTTTTGGATTGGCAGCTCCAAGCTCAACGAACTTCTCTCATTCCGCCAAGACCTCGATTTTTTTCCTGACTTTTTATGTGTACGTACGTATGTGTCGGTGCGGCACTTTGAAAGAAAGTCAGTTCGCCTTTGTAACCGGTGCAGCAAATATAGACTCATTGGTAGTATTGCGCATGCGCAAGTATGATAATTAGAATGATATCTCACATGAGAGGAATTAACAAATAACAGCCAAGAGTTTGATTTTTACTGGAGTCAGGTTTTCATGCGAGACCAGGCATTCACCCAAAGTGACTTTTGGGTGAAGTGACTGCACTCGTTATTGCGCGTTAACCTTCACTGGTTCCCCTCCTTTGGCTACGTAAACAGAATTCAAGTTTTGTGGGAATCCACGAAATAGTTCCTCGTTTCCTGCATACGTACATTTCGAAGGGTATTGCTTATACACTGTCCCAAAGCAATGTGTGAATCAAAACATTGCCCACGTCCTGGCAAAGCAATACATACATCATGTTCATTAGCTTTCCAACTTGGATTAGAAAAGTGAAAAAAAAAAGATATTGTTTCCCTGTACAAATTTTACTGAGAATAAAAGGAAATTTTAAGCGCCAAGTGGTCAACCAACATTTATTCCCTTACAACCCACTCCCCAAATTTTATTCCATTTTTACACTGAACTTAAAGACCATAAATTTGAAGGAAAAAACACACGGATCTCCGATTAAACTGAAAATATTTTCATGCCTGACCTTTATACTGAGCCATAAAACTTAAAGAAGCAGAAGACATACACACCTAATGTGATGGAGGCAGCTAGATGCTTTGATATACAGTGTGCTGTTAATCAATAACGCTGTTTCCTCTAGCGCCAAGATGATGTGTGACACTAAAAATTACATAAAAGGAGTGAACCAGTTATGGCAAAACTGTATGTGACCTAAAATAAAGACATTGTCTATAAAAATCGCAATTTTAGCCAGGTTTCTTAAACAAGTTTTAAAGATACATATAAAACCCAGCAGAATGATCCCATGTCAATGACTTTTCACACACCCTATAAGATCTGGGTGAGAGAGTTGAAAAAATTCCTTACTTGTCATAATTAAAAGGGAATTATGACTGAACCAAACTGCTGGTCCCAGTAACACAATTTACGGACCATTTCACACGGGGGGGAGGGGGGAACTAGGCTGTTCTGTGCCTGATCAGTTGTAAACAGTTACCAAATTATCAGATGTTGACAGGACTTGTGTCCCGACTAACAATTCTCGTTCAAACTTCTTTGGAAGTCCCCCAAATAGCACAATGGTCTCACTGAACTGTGTCCTCGTACTGCAAGGCTCACCATTCACTCGTGGTGTTAGCCGGTGGAACATAGCCTGAGAGTACAGACTAAACCAAGTGGCAGGGAGGGACACGCCTCTGATGTCCATACTGATGTTCTTCCATTTGGCTGACAGCCAGGCTGTGCTGTGTAACGTGCCCAGGGAAGGACTGGTGGGGAGAAGAACGGTGGCTTCTGCATGGAAAACCAATATTGACCAGGCTGGATAATATCAAAAGAGAAATACTGCGCAAAATTTTACTGAAAGCAGAAACAACAGACAGTATCGTAAAGTAAAGGAAAACAAATTAAATTTAGAGAAAAAAAAAGGGCAAAGCGCCGTATCTTCTTCAAAGCACATAGCATCGTCTTGATGAAAATCTGTTATCATTCCAACAGAAAGGTCATTTAGGGAATATTGAAAGCATAATGATGCTTCACCGAGCTGTGACTTATACTCAAGACCTCAAGAGACCTCAAGAAATGAAAGTTCCAAACATGTAAACTACTACAGCATGATCCTTACCTGGGAAATCATTCATGGTAGGGATGATAAGAACATCTGGAGACGAGGCTAGCTCAATGTAGAACTCCCACTGAGCAATGTAGGTGCTTCTGACAGAAGACCAAAGAAAGAGACAATTTGAAGACAGAGGAATATGGAATGTAACGGAAGGTTCTTAAGAACAAGTTGACTGTGCATGCCATCTATCTAATAAAATTTCTTTAGAATTCAAAATTTAAATTCAAAATTTATAATGCTAATGGGAGAACTTGATGAGTGGCAAAATGTATGCCAAGGTAAATTTTTCCTTAAACTCCAAATCTTCTAGAATTTTTATAAGCAACATCGTTTCATGTCACAGTTCTTAATCCCTCCCCAAAACTATGCCACATTCAGCAAGTTCCAACTGCAACACTTTTGACACAAATCTGACATGATTACCCGCTAACCTGTGGTGAGTCTCCAGGTCAAATCGTGGGAGGTACCGCAGACTCCGCCCCCACCCTGCACAGCCTCTGTTGTCAAAGCCAGGGGAGACCGACCCACACCATAACACACACGAAGCGTTCGCCACGCAGTCACTGCCAAACTCGCTCAGATTCCTCTGGGGAGAGAAAAGAACATAAGGATGGAAGTGACAGAGACAACTCAAGAAAAGCACACTGAAAACAACAAGCAGTCATCACAAGGAGTACAAGGTTTAAAGCCTAGTTTGGACATTAAAAGACAAAGAGACTGCTCCAATCTTGCATGCTGTCACCAATCATTACAACCATAGGGAAACCTGGCCTAACACGCATCATGCTATTGCACAACAGAACTTCAGATTTATTGGGAAATTAAGTTGTATCCATCAAATCATGCTCACTGTAACATAATTTGAGTTGATGAAAATCTAGTACTCATTTTGGAATTGTTACATCACATCGCTGAAAATCCTCTTTTTTCACACTGAGTACTAGGTACCTTGGCAAAGCTGACAGCATTCACATCCAGAACATGACCAAAAATAAGGGTTACAAATTTTCTATTTTACAGTTTATTATCCAAAAACCTCCTTTAAAACTTCCAAAATGATCTTCCTAAAACTTGTGCAGAACTTTTCATTCATAACCACTTGTTGGTAAAAATGGAATAAAAGCAGGGTCTTAATGAGTTGGTCACAACTCTTGTCCCTCGACTAAATTGGCACAATATAATAAAAAAACACCAAAGCATCATGTCCATCTGCAATGGATATGATGCTTTTTTCCCCCACATAAAATTGCCGTATCTGAAATCACAGCAGTCGGCAGTTGGTGGGTTTTATTGTATATCCAACATCCATGTGGATTAAATTGTTTTTTCAAAATACCTGATACTGAACAGCATCTTCCACCGTTCCATAGTAGTCCCACTCAGACATATTGGCGGGGGTAGGCCTCTCAACGAATGGAGCCCACCCAAAAGTACCGTTTAGTAACCTGCCCCATTCTTCCCACAGTGCAGGACTGGAGGCAAAGTTGAGGTAGCAACCAATCCAGATAGGGGTGGCCATGTCTGGAGGAAGACTGAGGGGCTTGTTGAGTAATTCTGTAACACAGAGATTTTTTCAAAAGGCGAAACGTTATATTGTACCTGATTTATTTCAGGTTAAAATAAACTTCCCAGTGCCTTTGAGTTTTTTTTTTTCACTGTACGGGTAAACATGTGAAGAAAAAAAATGGATACCCGCGAATTGCTTTGATGTCAGTCCTCCTCCAAAGATGAAGATGACAGGATGGTTGCCATGGTACAGCATGACATCAGGCCCATGAATGAATACACTGTCAACCAGATACTGCAAGTTGCTGTGGAATGCATTAACCACCTAGTCACATGAATGAAACCGAGTAAAGTAGAATTCCTTCAGTCTGGCACAGCTTCTGGGGTGGTAGGGCAGGAAAGCAGCCCAACACAAGGGTAACACAAAACTTTACCTTCAAATGCCCAAACAAAACCCTGTTAAATCTTGTAAACCTCAAGGTGAACCTGAAATTACCACCTATTTAATTTTGCATTTCTTTCCTGATAGAGAGGAGTGGTAAAGTGGTTGGGGTGTACCACTCCTAAGTAGAAGTTGGGAGTTGAAATTCTCAGCTGTTGGTCCTACGATGTGTCCCTAAGCAAGCCACTTTAGCCCCTTCATGTCAAAGACTGGCATCCCTGCTATTCAGGGATTCAAAGAATATTAAGTCATTCCCATGTCAGACAACCACAGATCAGCACTAGCCCAAGGAGCCACCTTGGCACAGGACAGCAGCATTCATGGGCGTCACTGAAATTGCTTCGGGGGGGGGGCACTCACTTTCCTTTCTTTCCCTTCTTTTTTTATTAGCCCCTCCCCCGTATGATCCACTTGACTGCATACAGGCCCGCTGATGTGGCTGATAGTCATAACGATCTATGGGAAACAATGACCGCTAGATCCAAACACTCCTCCAGTGAAACAAATGACCACGTAACAACTATTCACTCAACTACTGAATGAGCACCTATCGGAGTGAAGCGTATGTATCCAGGCACATGGGGGCAGGAAATGAATTACAGGTGGTGGACAAAAAGCAGCATGGCATTTGGCATTATCCAACCAGAGTGGAGGGGCTCCCTAACCGGCAGAGAAGAGACAGGCTGGTGGGGAGCTTTCAAGTAGGCTTATGCAAGGACCAGGCACACAGTAAAGACCATGCATTCAAACACAAATTGGTCCTGTATGCTCAGTGCTTCATCAAATGCCCGTAAACCTGCACACATGCCATGGGGTTCCACCAAAGGACCATCAATGCTATGAAAATTAAGAGAGAGCATGTTTTTACATCATTGCTATGTAAAAACATGCTCTCTCTTAATTCCACTCAGAGCAGATAAATGATGCCTACAGAATTTTAAGAGATCTGAAAGAAGCTGTTCTCTACCTCTGCACTTGTCTTATTCTTCAGCTCTTTTGTAAGCCAGTGATCACACCTGCATAGCAAAATTGTGACCAACCATCCCCAAACCAGGCTGAAGTAGGCAATTTGATAACCCTAAAATAGTGGAACTTCCACTCTTCAGACATTCATGGGAGTTTTACAGCTATCACTGCCCGCAAGAAGTTTAGTGTAGACAAAGTTTTGATTGAACATGGATCACTTCAAAGTGTAAAAAAAAAATAGCTGAAGGAGAGGAATTGTCCAACATCACTAATACCAACTTCAGCCTGGTTTGGGGGTGGTGGGTCCCAATTGGAAAGGAACCATTAGCAATAGCCATCACATTTATTACAAATAAAATAAAGATCAAATCTACATATAATATTCAACATAAAACAAATTATCCTCACCTAAGACACGCAGGTAAATCGATTAATGATTTCATACTTAATCTTGATCTTTGTTTATAGTGAGTTTAAAACAGTGAGTGAAATTGGGCTTGGATAGAAAAAAAAGTGCAAGTCTGGCTCGAGTTACAAGCTTTCATTGAGATGTACATGTACATGTAAAAATCTTACCAATTGATTCCAAGGGTAAATGCCCCATATTTCTTTGCAATCCTCAAAAGCTGTAGTAGAGCTGCATTGCTTGAATGGTTCATGTGTCCCTAAATAAAAGATCACGGAATAGTATTTTCCAATTCACTGCCACTATCTATCTGATGGGGTGATTCTCTGATTGTGGTTGAATGGTGTAGTCACATGAGGGCGCTAGTCATGTCGTCCATGAATGGCCCGGTTACCCGTGTAGCAATCTTAGTGTTGTGGGGGCACAAAAGATAGTTCCAGGTTTAATGATGTATTAATTTATAAAATTGAATGGCTTGGATCCGGGAGCTGTGGGTAAAATGCATATGGGCAGATATCTAATACTTTAATAGTCCATACCACCTAATAGAGGGATTAAGCTGCAATGGTTAAGTTTCCTGTGCCCATGGATATGCATGTTAAGTGGTCGTTGGTGCCAAAACTTTGGATCTTGTCTGAAATCTTGTTGACAACCTTGTGTTGATCCGTGTTCGGGGCCTGGAATGGTCCTGCAAATCTGCTGAATTGCGGGGTGAGGAGTCCCTAGGCTAGGGGCAGATTGGCTACATCGGCTGGTATGTTATACATGAACAGGTATTAATTATGGTGGAGGGTGCAAGTTGCATGTTAAATTTGGCAATGTGGGGTGCACGTACGTGTACCTCCACCTTTATAACTGTACGTGTATGTACACTGTATTATGACCTTGGAAGTACAGTCCGCACCATGTACTTGTTAAGTTGTAAACATGTAGTCCCAGCATATTCCGCACTGATCATGGAAATTGGCAGTTAGTTTAATTTATGGAACCGAAGATTCATGTTTGTTCACATTAATGGTTTTGTATTAGCAGGTCTTTTCTTGGGTGGAGAATAAAATCAACAATAAACCAGGCTTGACAGTGACACGGGAACCCCAATTTGGCTTCACCACCTCATTCCTTACTCGTCACCGGGGATTACACTACAGGGTGAGGAACTGGTGATGCATTACAGAATATTTAACAGGGAATTAACTACAGGTAGAAAAATGCTAAGCCTTGGCATTCACCTCAATAAACTGAATAGAGCTGTCAAACTAAAAGACAGGTGAGCATGAGTGTGACATGGGTGCGTCCCAAGCATGTATTGATCTTCCAATGGAAGATACAGGAAGCATTTCTTGTGCTTTTCTCTCAACGTTCACTTCAATGACTTACCCATTCAAGGAGAAAACCATCGATGCCTGCCGTCCTCCCTTGCAGGAACAAATATTCCTTGAGACAAAAACATGTATTAATCAACCCTCATCCCCACTAAAGCAAACATATAACACTTCTGAAGCAACTTTATACATAATCCCACGTAAAAGTTGGTCACCATTAGCAAGGGGGAATGCGGAGAAGTGCCCTCCCCCATTCCAGAACAGCTGGTACTGTGGCACCCCCAAGGTCCAAAACTGGCGAAGGGATTTATGGGTGTAAAGTCAAAAACTTTATCCTCAAAAAAAGCAAAGTTTCTACTCTTTGTAAGGAAATATTAAAACATTATCCGTTGTGAAGACAAAACGACACCCCTGACAATGATCCAGAACTGCCGACATACCTGGAAGAGCGGATCCTGGTCAGAAGTGAGTCCCATCCATGGATAGAGTGTGGATGCGATACTGATGTGTTGACTACCATTGGTACTGAGGAGATCAGCATTGTAGGTGAACACTGTCTGTTGTGCATGGCTCTCGGCTGCCATCCTGAAATGGACAGGAAGTCATTCAAGACATTCAGCAAGTGTAAACACTTGACAATATCACAATTCAATCAGCAACATTCCAGCAGGAAATCAAGAGAACTGCACACACAGAAAAGTCCCTTGCATCCTTCCAGGCCTACTTGCAAAGTGAACAGTTGGACACACAAAGAAAAAAATACCTCACAAAATTTGTTCTTTACGGTGGTGAAAACTATAGGTTGACACATGAGAAAATTTAGCAGCCACCCCCTTTTTATAGACATGCAAGAGTATTATACTATCTGGGTAATGGTGTTTTTAGGTCAACTGGCTTTTCTCATAACCCCAAGGTTGCTTGCTGCTTCATGCATCGCAAATTGAAAAGGCAGTGTTATGCTGTAATTACAAACGTGGCAATGGTCAGTCCTGGTGCAATACCAGACCCGTTGTGTGAGTGAACTTTCCAATACTCTTGGCTGGGTATTTTTAGTAACCTGAATGTTAACTTCGATTACTGTGTGAATAAATCAATTCAGGGTTGGAACCCGCTGACACCTTGGAGAGATGCTGCTGGTCGGCAGAATTATGCAAGATCCTCTTAACCATTCAGCCAATGAGAAAGTTTATATTCTAATTTCACCATGAGAAGAGGGCGGGTGAATTAGTGACCAATCAATGCAGAGATAAATAAAGCTATAGAGTTATTTTAGAGAAAACTTCAGAGCCTGCACCATGGTCGAATTTTAGTCAACACCAACATCCAGTAGACCACTGGTGAGTCCAAAACTGTCCAACAGTGGCCATATGGACTCCAGCGAGGGTCCTTTGATCCACCAAATTGTTAGATCATCAGTCTAGCAATCCAGCAGTCTGTCAACAATATTCTTATTTAGAGGAGGTATCACCAGTAAACCATGAGTTACAAAACAAACAACAGAGGCAGTGTTGTCATGTAAGGGAGAATCTTGCATTTGCAGAACAAAACCTGTCGGCAGCCGATCAGGTAATATGGTATTACTTTCAAAATTTGTTGCATAAATCCTGTAGCAAGGTGCAAGTTACACACTGCATAAGAACTCTCTCTTAAAGTAATGAATCACTACTAATACATGTACATGTATACATATATGCCGAGCCATTACAAAAAGGGAGCAGGTCCAACCAGCCCCCCTCCCCCAAAACCCCACATGCATCAAAAGGAAGTATTATTCGCCTGGTGTGTCCCCCCCCCACTACTGTGGCCCCATCATGTCGGAACCTGACAACAGAGCCGTACCTACACGTGCTGGTATTTTTACCTTCCTATCCAAATTCAACATGAAGTATATCTTACCCGTGAAATGACCAAAGACCAAAACTGCCGTCATGCTCTCTGGTAAGTTTGTTGCTCGTCACATCAGCCAGTACCTACAGCACAATGCAATCAATCCAGAGTTGTCTTTCTTTATGATTGAAATACAAGCACGTGTTTTAACCATAACAGCATTGAAAGATCGGAGGAAGGGGGGATCCAGAGTTTTCTTGTATTTGGAAAAGATAAACAACTTTCTCAGACTATTTCACGATGCTGCCTCACACCTCAGGGGGCTACCAATTACACAAATAAATCCGATGAAGTCCCTCTCCCCATAACTAACAGAAAACAAGTTTAGGCCTCAAAACTTTGTTTTGGGATACGGCTATGGCTCCTTGCCAATGTGCTTCTCCAACTGTCTTCCTTGGAGTTAATATGTTAAGGTTTATAAGAGATGATCCAAGAAGTTTCAAAGCACCTTAAGAAAGTTACTTAATGGCCGACAGTTAAAATTCTTTGTCTCTCTTTTAATTAAGCACACTATCAGGTTTTCCTTGCAGTAAAATAACCTTTTTCTTTCCAACGAAACAGAATGACGAATGCAGGATAGACAGGAGGACAGCTACGGTTAGATAGGTAAATTGGCATGAAGCGGCCATCATAAGATCTGCAATAAAGAAAGGATAAATCATATCATCAAATAAACTTCAACCTGGGCACTGAATCCGTTTTCAACAAAATGAGCAGATTTCTTTCTCTGGAGAATTTCTCCAGACTGTTCTGCCGTAGTTTATGCTAACCTGTACAGGACCTGATGCTTACTGGTATATACTACTTGTAGATGGTACCATTTTGGCCACAAAGTGCGACTTTCGGGGGAAAAAAGGCAAGATGGAGCAGAAATACGGTTTGATTTGATTCATTGAACAAATCTGTGTGATATTTCCTTCGGGTTTTCCCAACATCCCAAGCAATACCACAGGCCACGCATGTGCATTGGTCAAGTGCAGCACACTCTCTAACAAACAGCCACAGACTTTTTTGACTTGAGTTTAATTGTGTTTATGTACATGTCCTCCGGTGCACAGTGGTCTCTGCACTGGTCAACCTTTTCTAGCTCTACCATGTCTTATTCTCCTCTGCACAGTAATGTCCTAGCAAAATGCCAAACGCCATTGCTGCCAACTGTGCCAACTGAATACAGCATGATGACCTACCTGCATCCATCCTATGTGTGACACCGTCTTTATGCCCACTACTGTACAGGTATACCCAGACAGTGTACATGTACATGTATATGTACAATGCTGGGATTGACCAATCAGAAAAGTAGCTGAAAACAGCTGAAAAAAGGCATACAGAAGCCTAACTGTGAAAATCTCCTATATTTTGCACACAGCCAGTGAGGACGAAAAGCTGAAATCTCAAACAAAAAGGCTGAAATACATGTAAGCCTAAAAGCTGAGCAATCTCACCCTTGACAACGTTACTAGGTTGACATTTGTAAATCACATGTGAAATGCTGACAAAACCACTATTAATGTTATCACAGAGCTGAGAACCTCTGACAAACTCCTTCAACTGACATATCTCCTGCCCAGTGATGAAGATAAGTCCATACCATACCACCATGGAGGTGGAATCTGATTCTACCTCCAAGATACCACAGTCCATCCCGCACTCCTTCACGAGTCCGGTCAGGAGTCCTGTCACCAGATAATGATTAATATCACAAGGGGTTGCTTTGTCAGCAGTTCTTTTGAATAGGCCGTGATTTGGGCTCCAGACTGAATGGCTTGTGATGGACTTGTGATGGACTTCGGCGATTCTGTGGCCAGAATGACTGAAGCCACTTACTCTGTGCTACACACAACTATGAAATATAATGGTGACACCTGAAAAAGGCATGCTCTTGGTTTCGTTCTCCCTAGGTAAAAAGTAACTTTAAGACCCGGGACTGTTAATTCTCTTCTTCACTTTCACTTAGGCGCTTATTGTTCACCTGTCTTTAAGATCATATCATCTCATTAATTACACACCCCTCCTACCAAACAATGGAGTGACCCCTGGCCAGAGGGTGGGTGGTCTGCATGGCAGAAGAGCTACATCAGAGGAACAATTTCCAGAGACCAGAGTGTTGCCAGAGTGGAAAGACATTCCATGGCCTTTTCTATCTCCTGGGACAGTCCAACCTTACTTGAGCCCTAACTCTGCTCCAACCATAGCCTCTTCTGTCCATGTCTGTCTGCATCTTGTCAGGTAGGAAATTTCATTATTTGTGGTAGTAATAGTTTGTAAGAAGACTGACACCCACATACATGTATTCACTGCGTGGAAGAGATACAGCAAACCATTTGAGATACTTAAAAAATAGTTCAGCACACTGTGAAACTCTGTAATGCCAACTGTGTCATGATGCACAGAAATTGAATCATCCTTGGCCAACCGCTTCATATGTTTAATTTTTAATTCTTAGCTTTACATTGGAATCAGGATCTTTTAGTTTCAACATGAGTCTCACAAAGAAAGTTTTCTATGTAACCCCCATGGGGTCTGACGTCCGCTTCTCTCCGTCGGACCCCACAGTTCTGGGAGTACTCTATGCACACGCCCTCCCCCCTAACAGTTTCTTTGACATCATCAAAGTGCATTTTATTTATACACTGAACCTACAAAGTAATGCGTTCCGATCATTTTGATACCAATTTTTGGAAAATCCGACATGTAGTTCTTGCGCAAAGTCCATTTTGCTGAGACAGGTCAGCCAACAACGTCTTTCCATTGACGTGTTCAATGCACAAGAACTGACACGGAGTGTGATCTTGAATTTCAAATGACTGTAACAAACCTTTGGATTTGAGTTAGGACTTCACAGTTGCACTGCTAAGGAATGATTTCACTTTGTTTAGTTTCATTGAACCATATAAATAAGTAAACAAACTTTACAAGAGCAAAACAGCCATAACTCTGGCAAAATTCAGTGCAAAAATAACACAATACTTTCTGGCTTGGATGACACTGCACGTTTCTCAAAAAATATGAACATTCACAAACAGGCAACAAAATAACCATGAAATGGCATAACAAAACTGAAAAATCAGGTTAAATAGGGCAGAAAAACGTATGCAGATTAAAGGTTCCATGAAACCTCTGTTGATAAATCGTTAAGTGTTTGAAATACCATTAATATGCCAATAACATGATGAGGGATGTAAAAATGGAATAAAATCTCCTTTGTTGTGGTTTATTTAACTAACCCCTTAAATGAATAGTTTAATCCTGGGAAATGATGGCACTATGTGTGATGTACATGTACATTTGAGAACCCACAATTGCAACATAATTTATAGTCAGGCACACTTTTGAAAAGATGGTTAATTGCATGGGAAATGGTCAGCTATGATAGGATCAGTAGACTTAGTGTGGCATTTCTCTACTGTAAACACATTGCACAATACCACAGATGGACCTCTTCATCAGATCCTAAAATATGATCCCTTGTTGTGAGGTCACCACAAAGGCATTATTTTAGAGAATTTACCTTTTACTGGGTAAAGTCACAAGAGAGTACTTTAATGGTTAAATATCAATCATAAGGGAAAGCCGGCCTTGCACAGTGCTGTCTGCCTTCCTCCAGGGTCAAACAATCAGTCAACTCAAGGGCAGGGAGTCCTATAGGGAGCAGAGCCATTAATCGCATTCAGAATTCAGCCGCCAGACTTGTTACCCGTTCATCATCTAGGCAACGTATAACTCCTATTATTCGCAGCCTTCACTGGCTACCTATCAATGAGCGAATCGTTTTCAAGATTCTACTCCTCACTCACAAATGCATCCATGGTTCAGCACCAGCATACCTCCGTGAACTTATTCAAGTATACGAGCCTCAACGCACCCTCCGTTCTAGTTCAACATTGCTGCTCAGTACACCTGTCACTCGCAATAAGACTTATGGATATCGTTCATTCAAGTATGCATCACCATCGCTGTGGAACTCTCTCCCACACCATATCAGAACTGTCAAAAATGAAAACGAATTTAAGTCACTACTTAAAACTCACCTTGCTTTATTTCATAATATTACTGTGAAGCGCATCGAGATGTGCTATGTGATGCGCTATATAAGAAATGTGTTATTATTATTATTATCACATTGTGTAGTAGTGCCTTAATTATGGCTTTGGAAAGGGTGATGAAGTTGCATCTAGGATCAGTCTTCCTACTGAAATGCACAAGCTGTGGAGAGTGGACATGACCTCACCAAGTCTCCTTGTCCTGTCACAGATGAACTTCATCACTCTCCACAGCGACAGCCTTCAGCTTCCCCAAAGTGTACTTTACTACATGTACTTGATAAGCTGTGGCAAAAAGATCCAACCGCCTGGCCTCTACCTATCCCCACCTTGACCACCCTCAATGCCCTTTGCAGACCCTACTGGTTCACCTACTGGTTCACCTGGTATATGTGGTGCATGTTTCACTATCCTTTGACTGGCTGTGTCCCACGCCCCCATGCTTCACTCCCCTTGGGACCTGGTCCCTTGTATGGCTACCCCTCCCCATTACTTGACTGGATCTTGTTTGCCCTGTATAAATCATTTTATCGCCCGTATATAAAACACAAAATGGTTGACCGTGTTCACACATCCGAGTTTATGACCTATGAACTCTTAATGGCAAGGCTGGGTTGGATCAAACACTTACTCCGTGAGCTAAATGGACCTCTTTACTGAAGATGACAAGTTGTTGGTGATATCAAGAAGTGAAAGTAGCAAGTACTCTTTTAGAGGAAGAGGGCAGAGGGCAAACAGGACATGTCCATACATGTAGCCTTAGCTTTGGCCTTTCTGGGACATTGTGTCCTCTGTGTGGTGAAAATACCTGTTGACAGTCCATTTTGTTTAACAAACTGGATAGCAAGTGCTACCAAGCTACACATCCTATCAGGGATACTATGCAGCCAAGGCACATACAAGTCATTGTGTGGATTGTGAATCAGAGCTCAAGCTGAACAACCCAGCGACTCCAGCATTTTTAAAATCCATTTGAACAAGGATGGAATCACCTGGATTTATAGTCAACTGCTGACTTCACTGCAGGGCAGGGTTGATTTGACAGACATGTCGGTTTCAGTATGCAAAGGACGTTTTCCTGTATGTACAGTTTTGTTTCCTTCACCTATGCAAAGATACATTCTAGACACAGTTGTCATATTCACCCTCCGTCTCTCTGATTTTAGATCAGTCAGTAGTACAAAGCATTCATTCACTCCTGATGGAGGTTACATGAAAAAAATAAAAGCTGCATATACGATCAATTAACATTTGCCACTCAAAGATGCATCAGCTCAAGATTGGTGAACTAAGAAATGTAACAACCATTGTTCTATCAGTAGGTCCATTGCTCTAGATTCCCTATGCATATAGTTTTCCTTTTTTTTTTACTCCGAAACATTGTTTAATCCGAAACATCTTTGATCTACATGTTTATGAACAGAAGGGTGGATCCAGGGGTTAGGGTCATAGCCCCCAAAATGAAGCCCCTCAAAGAGAGAAAGGCAACATTTTTTCTATTCTATTACTAGTTTTTCCCAAAGTGTGTAAGGAATGTCAAAATGTAGCCTAATCCTCCAGAGAGGCCTTAAAAGGTTACTTTAGAAAAAAAAGTTATATCATTTTTTTTTCAGATATAAGGACCATAGTAGAATCAAAACGGGGGAGGGAGGATGCCTTGAGAGTAGAGCTTTTCAATTATAAATCAAGTCCATCATTCCATTATTCTATGAACCATGACATTCTTTCCAGTTGGAAATATGTCTCCTTTACAATGCCATAACCACAGGGTTAAGCAAAAAATGTAACAATTATAATAGATGGTAAAAGTGTTTGATAAAATGAAGTTTGCTTCAATAAGTCTACATATTTTGTACATACATTTCAGGTTATTACGTATTGCATTCATTTTCACACCAAGAGTGACATGGAGGTATAAACCATTATCCCATTGTTTGGTCCACCTATCCCAGACATTTGGGGTCAGTGGGACAGCCATCTGGGGTGAATAGGACACACACAAAATGATGTAAAACATTGAAAAGTTCCAATTTAAATGGTGAATTCTTATCACAGAGACAAGTAGTTTCTTCGAACAGTCATGTTTTACTCCTCACAGATGGGGATCCAAAGTTAGAACAAAGAAGGTACATGTGTATGTCAGTTTGTCAAATATTGGTTTTTACTAAGAAATGCATCAAATGTTGACCCCATAAAGGATGGTTGCAATCGTCAGAGATTTCTACACCAAACAATTGCCCCAAATGCACGCAACATTTGGACACCGCTTTATTCCCCAGCAATATTTGTAGAAAATTTCTCCTCCAATAAGTACAGTACTCCTGGGAGATCTAAAAAAAACATGTTGTCCCACTTTAATACCCAATTTGTTTCTTTGCCGTCGTTCCACTCATGGAGCTATTCAAACACTTTTTTCTAGCTTCATGTTCCACTTACCCCGAATTACACTGTGTAGTGTACTTATACATTATACACATAGAAAAGCATTGGAATCTTTTATAATCATTGTGGCTGCCTCGGGGCTCACTTGAACACTTGCAAGCATACCAATGTGGCACATATACGATTAACAGTACAGGCCCAGAAATGCAGTAAACAACACAGTCTTTATGTCATTCTCAATGGGAAAAGCAGTTTGTGGGTGCAGTGTCCCAATTCAAGGAAAATTCTCCGCCAGGCCGAGGCGCAGAAAAAGTACCCCCAGAGATTTTTGTTTGAGAGGCC